CGGTTATTAACTGTGTGTTTGAAAATATAATCGCGGAAAGATTATTCCAACAGCTAGTTTGGTTATTGAACCTTTAGGTTTTGAAATTTATCTAAATTTCCATTGTTTATAGTAAAATGACAACTTTGAACCTTTACAAAAAAATTTTTTATTAATAAATGAAAAAACTCTCTGATCGGTTATTAATTAGTGTTAGGTTTTAAAGTTTATCTAAATTCCATTTTATAGTGAAATTAACAAAATTGCCAATTTTACTACCAGGAAATATGACCAAACAATTTTTGTTGGGAAATTTTTCTCAAAAATTGGCGGGTGGCACAGAAAGTTGTGAGACTAGGTGACTTTGCACCATATATTAATATGGTTAACAATCTCTCTTTGTGCACTGAATTTCTTGATGATTCACGTCATAATTTGTGGGAATCAATCATTCAACACAACAACTCCTCCAATGATCAAACCACCATATAAACATTCATTACATTTATATCGTCATACACTTCGATATATTCGTTCATCATCTTTACCTTTTCCTTATTTACGTTCAAAACTGCATTACAATACTCGGGAATTATTTGAAATTTATCGTGATGAACAAGATGAAAATAAGGTTAATATGTTGATAAACTGGGGATGGAGAGATTTGGAATTTTTAAAAGCATGGAAATTTGTAGAGAAAGATGTCATTAAATCAATTTTCAAAGGATATTAGTATCATAATATTAATATCCAAACCGGATTTTCACTAAATATTAATCAACTTAATCAGAAATAAATAAAAAGTTTTATTAACAAGCTGAATTAGTCAATATTAGGTATTAAAAAATTTTATTGTTTTCTTTTAAATGAACCATCTTAATAGATTTAATAATAAAATATGAAACATTACCAGGTTGGAAAACTGATATTAGCAAATGTCGTCAATTTACTGATTTACCAACAAATGCACAAAAATATATTAAGTTTATTGAAAAACATTTAGAAGTACCAGGTAACCAATTCATATTATATTATTAAATCTATTAAGATGGTTAATTTAACAAAAACTTTTTGCTTTTTCTTAGTTGAATGGATAGGTGTTGGTGTTAATCGTGAAGATATGATTCATATAAAAGACAATCCATCTAATAACAAAATTGTTAATTAATTAATTTATTATTTTTAATTTAAAATTATGAAAGATTAATAAATACTATATCTGAATTTTTGAAATATAGGAAACATTAACAATTGGTAATTCATGTGCTTACACATAATGAGTTTTGCATTCTGGCATATTACTAAAGACCC